GCGATGCCGTGCTCTGCGTGATTTTCCCAGTAGCCGACGTGGATCTCAAGCATTTTCGGCTATACTGAAAATGTGCCCGCTGCGGCCGGTATTTGATACCGCGACCTTCGGTTGAGCAGTCGAGCGCGATGACCACTGGACCACCGAGGCGTGTGATAGTGAAGTCAACGTTATCACAGTTAAAATATGGCTGCTTTCAAAAAAAAAAAAAAAAAACACGCGTCAGAGATATTTGGAAGAATATATTTTGGTTACTTTGACACCATGAAAAGCAAAACCACATTGCTTTTTTATGCCCCGATAACGTACGATAGCGTGAAGAAACTTGTTTTGCCAAAATTCTGGTGTAAGCGTCAGTGGTAGTGGGGGCGAAATCAGCGTTGCCTGCGGGCGGAAAGTCGAGAATGATGTGGGTAGAATAAATAATAAAAAAAATCGTCTGTTTGAGTGAGAGTCGAACCCAAGCTGCGTCGCCTTGAAAAATAGTTCAGGCCTGCTCACTGTATACTTCGTACATGGCCTATGACATGACTCACTTTTGAACATCGTCTTGTGCTGAGTAGCAACACTGCTAAGCCTCTTCTGGCAGCTGCGCGAAGGTAAGCGTGTTTCTTGATCCTGAGATAATTGACTGATTGTTTGAATGATTGATTTAATGATTGATATGTGGGGTTTAACGTCCCAAAACCACCATATGATTATGAGAGACGCTGTATTGGAGGGCTCCGGAAATTTCGACCACCTGGGGTTATTTAACGTGAACCCAAATCTGAGCAAACGGGCCTGCAGCATTCCCGCCTCCATCGAAAATGCAGCCGGGACTCGATCCCGGGACCTGAGGCTCTACATCTGTGGAGTGCTGCATGGTGATGTGATGCGCTTCGTTCGTGTAACGTTCGCGTATGTGTACACATTCCAGCTCTCCCAATGGGGCAAGGCTGTTGACCTATAGCAACTGCAGCAGGTGACATTGACAATCAACCGAGGGCCCGAGAGTTTTCTTTCCCAAAGGACGACCGAAATGCGAATGTGCCTTTCACCGGGATCCCTTGTCTGCGTCATTTGAAGGTATGCTTTTAAATCGCTCTTAAGGCACCATATCAAACACGCTTGGTTCTTTCTGTAAAATGGTGCCGCGTGCGCCTTTTATCTGTTACCGATAAGCCTTGACATCAGACACTTATAGCTGAGCATCGCTGACGCTCAGCCGAAAGTTAGGAACTGCATGTATGTTGCGTTTTTGTGGAGCGCGTTTTCAGGTGTGCAAAAACTAAAAAAAAATGATTTCAAAATGTACCTGCAGGTAGCGGGATCGAGACCCGGCTGCGGCGACTGCATTTTCGATGGAGGATGAAATGCAGTAGGCCCGTGTGCTCATGCAGATTTGGGTGCACGATAAAGAACCCCAGGTGGTGAAGATTTTCGGAGTCCTCCCCTACGGCTTCTCGCATAATGATATGGTGGTTTCGGGACGAGAAACCCCGCATATCAGCATACCAATTATCAACCGGGATAGATAATGACGCGAGCCTGGCGCTGGAACTGGTCCCGTCGCAGCCGCTATACGCAAAAAAAAAAGTGGCACAAATTCGAGAGCGCGAATAACGCGACATCCAGTTGTTGTTCCGGCTACGATAGCCGTAATCGCGTCAGATAAAGCCGTATGAGGGACCAACCGATACGACTAGACGCGCATGTGCACTGCATTCATCTCGTCGCTAGATAGCACGTCGATGCTTTCAGCCACGCGATACCGTGGTCTGCACACTTTTAAAGACGATATCTTCCTTGGAGACCTTCAACGGAAAAATTTTGGTCTGTCTGTCTGTCTGTCTGTCTGTCTGTCTGTCTGTCTGTCTGTCGGTGTGCCTGTACATTTGTCTGTTTGTCCACCTTAAAGATACCTCAAACGGCACTAAACGGCCAACCCCATTCGCAGCGCCCACCAATATTGCTCAAGGTGTAGCGTTCATAGTTGTGCGATTGTCAATTAAAAAAAAAAAGCAATTCTTGCGCATATTTGAGGCGCTATAACAACACTTCAAGTTTTGAATGTCTGCCTTTATACTAGAAGAGGCGCACACAAGTAACTCTAAGGAATGTAGCGTTTATCGCGCTGCGCTCACAGTGAAACGCCATGCTCGAAAAGGTGTTTCTAACGCTTTTTTACGACGTCACGGTGGTGGCACCTGCCCGTCGCTTTGCGATCTACACCTTATCACCTTCGAGACTGGCGCACGTCTTTCTCTGCGGGCTGCACGCCTGCGTTTTCGAAGATAACTGCCAGATAGTGCTTGGGTCTAATGTGCCTCAATGCGCTCGTTCGCCTCCGCTACACGCTCGAGGCACTCTAACGCTGCGCCTCTAGCCAATTTTTTGCGCAGAACATCGAAAAAACGTTTGTTCACTCTCTCCAGACGCAAGACTATCAACTTTCGACTACATTTGCAGTGTAACATGCAGATTTGCAACCAATTTTTTTCTCTCGCCTGTACTTACCATCCTCAGCTATCTTTATCTCCCTATACAACAACGACCGCGACACAGCAAATCCATCACGAATGAAAGAGAAAAATTAAGGAACAAATTAGCAAGTTTGGACAGACGGTACGTCCCTCACATTAAAGGAACTACTCGGACCATGGCCTGAGATGGATCTTCAGAAAAAGGCGGACATCTTCCTGACAGACTTTTTATTGGAGGCCCGACTGGATAAGCGCATGTGATAGACAGCTACGGATTGATATATATGAAATGTATTAGTGCATATACTGACAGTAGAAAATGAAGGTGTGCTTGTGAACAGTTCATGACAGTGTGAACTGCAGCAAGCAAACTGTGCATTGGCATGGTATTTCAGCTGGTTTCAGTGTGCTATTGTGTTTTTTATTGTTCATTTTTGGGTACCGTTCAGTATTTTTCTTTTTTCTTTTCGCTGCAGAACTTATTCATATGGAGTAGTCGAGGCAATATGCACGTCAACCTCTCCACAGCAAAACAGTTAGAACAGAACAGCACTCTGCACTGTGCGAGGGTTCAGGTGTTTCAGAGCTGCGGTGGTCACGCCGTAATATAAGCGGGACGTGAAAACGCTCACGTACCGTTATTTAGCTTTCACCAAATTGCGCGTGGCTCTAAAGTAGTACTGTCTAGAAGGATTTTCCCTCCACCTCCCAAAAATCTAACCCGGCCCCAAGAACTTACAATAAGGCTTTTGCAAACGCGGATGTACCCTACTTTGAAAATGTTACACATCATGTACCCTGACCTATACCCAAGTAATCTTTGTCCACATTGTGGGGAAATAGCTTCATTAGAACACATGCTCTGGCAGTGCACCAAATTCGCTCATATATCTTATATCACCTCTGCCAGATGGGACGCGGCAATCCGCAGCTCATCCTTGGCAGATCAGCTCTGGGCTGTCCACCAAGCCCGCGAGGCGGCTGAGGAGCTTGGCATCTCAGTCTCCTCGTGGGAGCTGCCCGCAACACAGTGATCTGTGTTTTGGAGGTCCAAATAAAAGCTTATCCAATCCAATCTAAAGTAGTAACTAGGCCAATGTACGTACAGTGGAGCTGGAGGGAAGCCTCAGCGATGAAAATGGAAAGTGTGCAAAGAAAATACTCCCAAGTAAGAACGATGAAACCCCGTGTTTATTTCAGTGGGCCACAATGGGAGTAAGTTTTTTTTCCCAATCTTCGCCCTATATATGCCCGTCCGTGGGTGTTTTTTTTTATTCCCATTTTGTGGGCATAGAGGTACAAATGAGAGTGATCTAGAGAATAAAGCCGAAAACTCCCACCTGGGTATTTTTTCTGTTCACAGTGTAGAAGAACATTGGCATGGTTTCGCACATAGGGACAGACTATACGCCTTCCTTCTCCCACTGGCGGGGAAAGGTGGCGAAGCTGCGCGAAAATTTGACACCAGCTGAAACGGATGTTTAACTCTTGTAACTTCCTTATTATAGCACGTATTCGCTAAATTCTCGCGGCTGCATGTCCACGTAGTAAAAAGTGCGCACATCTTTCTTAACAATTTTTGGACCTTGGGGTTTTTACTGGCCATCTAAGTGACAGATCTAGTACAAAAACGTTAACGTACTCTCCTTTCACAGCTATAGCGTTAACGCGAAAGTGAAACATGTTTTCATGGAAGCTGGTGCATGCGGATTTGAATGTAAACATTCGACAGAAGTCTGTATGGTTGGGTATTAAACTGGGAGATGATTTAGGATCCAACCAAAAGTTTTGATGCAGTCATCCCTGAGGAACGAACCAAGTCGGTTTCGAAACGTCGGGTTTTTTTTTCTTCAAACTTTTGGTTGGAGTCTAAATTATCTCCCTGCATGGGAATTATACGTCAGGAGGTAAGAATGATAGAAGTACACATTTGCGTGATCTCTCCTGGTATCTGGCCATCATGGATTTGCCCACGTTGGCGCCTGGTGTCACATCATCTGCCCAATCGCTAACGTTGGAGACCACAACGTCAGTTCCGTGAAGGAAGTGACGTCATTAATATACGGGAGGACCATGAAATGTAACGCCTTCGTGCTAACAGTTTGTTCTGCTGTTAAAGTAAGAGTATACCTACTCCAACCACTGCCACACAGTAGGACGCACAACAGCTGCTCTTCGGACACCCCATGCACTCAAAACTGACAAGGTGGGGTGAGGGCACCTGCGCAACGTAACGAACGCCCTCTGTCTACCATCGCGAGCTACAGATCTTCGCACGCTTCACAACCTCACGACGCCTTTGAACGTCAAGTTGCTGCGGTTCGATCGATGAAACTAAACCATGGCAGACGCTAGCCTTATACATCGACGAGACGGCCAATGATCGCTAGTGAGGCAGCCCAATGAAGGGTTTGCGAAGAAGGGGAGATATATATCGATAGATGGTCGACTCTTTACTGTTTCCGTGAAAGAGAGAGAGACGGCGAGAGAGAAAGAACCGATAGTGGGAAGCAATATTACCTTGAGGTCATCCAAAGAGGCCTCTTAATCGGCGACAGCGGGCAGCGGAAGCGATATCCTCGCAGTGCTCGCATCAACGGCTTTGTTCAAGGGTAAGCGTGGCTTCGGCTTTTCGCAGTGTTCAATATTCAGCTAGAAATGCTCATCGAACCCTTTGACGAGGCTTTTCAGGATGTGCGTATTGATGAGCCCATAAAGACCACTGCAAGTCAAATCTTTTTTTTTTTTTGGAATGCACGTGTCCGTACGTGTGTCTGCCATCCGCAGAGTCACATCGTAATTACGCCAGTGGGACATGAATCAACGATAGCATCGTTAATTGTTCTCGGCTGTACCATTACTTTGGGATGGTTAAACTATTACAATCATGCATAATGACACAGACACGAAGTGAAACGTAGCGTTACTGAGAAACGCATTTGTATAACCAGAGCCTACCTTGTTAGGAATCATGTCTGTAGCAATGGGCCCTCGCTGCTTCAATGAGCATTGTTATGCCAGAACATTGTTTCAATGACATTGTGTTGATAACTTCTTAAACGTCACCATAAAATATGGGGACCCATATTTGCTTAATTACCGTCACCTCTATAGCGATGCCTGACAGTCTATCACTTATCGTATCTTCGTTTCGTTGAATGGTGCTCAAATATTTTATATGCGTCTTATTGATAACCTCTCAGCAAGTGCCTCGTACGGCAGTATCAATAGAGTGCAGTTATCATCAAGTTTAATAATCATAATTAAGAGTGAGGGGCAGATGATGACTTATTGGTGCTTCTCATATACACTCCTATTCACCTTTAGCCTGGTAGTAAATTTTCTGTTTGATGATTCACATCATAGGCAGATTGACTGGCTAATATTAATGTTCGCTAGTGCAGCGCACAGAAGCTGGCCTCTGTGCATAAAATGAAAACTATAGAGCTAGCGTAACCACGGTAAGGAGTGGCAGTTCACGCAGTGCTAGTGGTGTGCAAATGAACATATACCCATTCGATACAACACTCTCAAATAAAATGTCGTTGGGTTAAATGTACAGTGCATAATAAACAACGTACGACTTCGCTTGAGTAAAGTACAAGGAGGTATGTTCCTTGAGTTAAAGCACTTTTAACTAATGAAAGCGAGCTTTTTGAAACAGATATCATGAAAGCAATGCCACAATGTGTGTCGTGTAAGAGCTAATATAAGTGAGTGACCTGAACGGCTGAAGCCTCGGCAGCTGGTCCGAATGTTTCGTTAAAGTTAAAGAAGCACATTAATACGAAACGATGTGGCATACAACTGCTACGTAACGTACACACGTGCACGTACGTTCGAATATTAGAGCACAAGTGCACGTGCAAACAAATGAACAAAAAAAAATCGACTCATTCCACTTACCTTGGGAATCAATGTTACGCGAAGAATGCGGATGGAGGGTGACTGCGTTGTAACTTTTTACTGAGCGAAATTTCGCGAAGTGGTGCTAATGATATGTACAAATTCACGCTCTGAAATACGTCAAACAGCCGCATATGTTTTACATAACCAGCTGTTTACAGTTGCCTAACGATACCACCGCAACACGGGTATTAGCAACACCAGAGGTGGTATAAGCTGATAACTATCACTTGTACTCTCGAGGATGGTAGCCCTAAACACTGCAACATCAACCAATTTCAGCTGGTGGCGCCTAACTACAATTGACGTTAACCCCCAAAGTGACGGCGGTATTACATAGGAGTACATGTGCAATGCTTATAAAATTGGATAGACGGCACTGCAAGCAGAATTGACATTTCAAAAACATTAGGGTCAATTTGAAAAGAAAAGTAGTTCCGAGACCTGGCGTGGCTCTGTGGTAGAATACTTGATTGCCACGCAGAATGCTGGGGTTCCATTCCTGCTGAGACCCTGACATTTATTCTTTGCATTTCTCGCGTCAACGCTGCCGATGTTATATTTTCCTTCACGCTCACGCGTTAACATTACACATGTGTGTTTTCGCCGTTCCTGGGTAGATATAAACTGCCAATCATCTGTGGCACATGCCTGCCCACGGGTATGTGTTTGACGGCATATGCGACGGGATTGTCATTATTCATGTCATCACGGGCGAGTCATACTCGTCAAATCATCTTACCTTCCGATACTAATCATCCACAAGTTAAGCTGATAATCATGAAAGTACCTAGACGTAGGCAGCTAGATAGATAGATAGATGCTCACAGAGCCCGAAGTACACAAAGACATGCTTCGCATTTAAAAGAGGGCAGAGGTTCGGGAGACAGATAACATTCATTCGCGTTATTGGTAATATATGCGTTTTTTTTTTCATTTCTTATTAAGAGTAGCTGTGGTAGATAGCTGGCGTGTAGAAAGCATTTCTTATCGAAGCACTCACGGACACGGCACGCTGCCTAGATAAGTATGGTCGAGTAATGCAGCACTGGTGTAGTTGTCTAAAAACGTTGCCTAAATCAATACTATTGACTTGATGATTAGCAAGCAAGAAAAATGATGAAAAAAAAAACAAGCTCGCTACTTTGCTTGAGCAAATTTGAAAAAAAAATACAATCGAGTACTTTATAGGGCGAGGTTCTGAATGTTGTCAAAGATGATTATATATATTTAACTATGTGATGACCATTGAGATCAGAGGTACGTCGTCGTTGAAATGTGCGTTTTCGCATAAACCGAACTGCACTGATTTAAAAACGAAACTTTGAACTAAGCAGCGTGATGAAGTTGCCGCTTAAAGGCACTGTAATAAAAGATTGGAGCTCTCAGTGTAAATGAAATTGCAGTGGTGATTATCCAGACTCGTTAGCCGTATTACCGTTCCCGCATCATGCATCTAGCGGCAAAATGAGTATTTCGTTGCCTCTGCTCCTGGTCCCACACTCATCAAGCCTTCGCTATCATCGCTGTCAACGATTGATCTGAAACTAATATGATTGAAGGAAAGAGCAACGGCCAAGTAATATGTTCCTGGTTGCCGCCTTAAGGCCGTTTCACATGACACAAGAAAGTAGCGATTTTCAGGATGCGAATTCGCTCGCAGCGAAAAAAAAAGGCAGTTTGCTCCCGTCGCAGCGGTCTGCGGTGGGCATCCAACATGTTGGAAATTTTCGCTCTGATCGCAGCGGCAGGAGCAATTTTTGGTCGGGACCCGTCGAAACAGGGCTAGTCCGGCCAAGCCGTCGAAATAGAGTCGACGTGTTTGTTTTGGTAATGGCCGATTCTGTGCATTTTAAAATGAATCCAGACTGGAAAGCGTTCTTAAATGACGAAACAAGCGGGCCCTTCGTTACCGTTCACGGTAACTTCATGATATCATAATGCACACTATAATGCATTACATTCGGGCCTGTCACAATGAGCGGTGGCAAGAACTCGCCGTTCCAGTCGCAGAGCGAAAATCGCGGACCGTTCGCGGTCCATGTGAAACGAGACCGCCATTGGCGACGGTTGCGAACAGAGCGATTGGAGCGAACAGAACGATTTTTTTTTCGCTGAAATCGCGGCATGTGAAACAGCCTTTATGGTGACGGTAGCAGCTATGTTTGTCGTTATGTAATATACTCGAAAAAGCGACACGGGCTCATGCGCACAGGTGGTAGTGCATTCGAAGGTCGCTGAAGCCCGCACTTCGACTATCAGTTATTTATTTATTTTATTTATTTATTTAGCAATACTGTCAACTCTCGTGCAAGAGTCCTTACAGAGAGGGTAACATACAAAACATTATAGCAAAAAGAACATTATTAGCAAATACACAAATGCAGTATGTATCAAGATCAAACTCTACAATTGTACAGATAATCATCCAAGGTCTGTTCAAATTTCGACAAATCGTTCTGGTCAACAACACTCACCGGCAATTCATTCCACATTTCAATTGTATTAGGAAAAAAGGCAATATAAGACATTGGCATTTTAAGAGCCGCTCCATCTGGCGCGGATATTGAATTTCGGTGTGTACTTACCTGTATAAATGTTCACAAGCGTAAATGCCACGCTTGAATAGGAAGATACATATCCGAATCTCAGATTTGAAAATGTAAGCCTGGTGGGGAGGTCGTCTCACTCAGCATTTGCAGAGCGATTCCGATAAGACTCGCTGAAATTAAGCATATTTTCGTTTGAGAAGGATCCGAATTTATCAAGGCGGAGATTATGACGAGTTAAATTAGTAGGCTAGAGTTTTAAGCGCCGTAAAGAAGAAAGATTGAAGGTGATCCTAATGCTTGACTGAGGTTTTTGGTATAATGGTACTTGGACGTTAACGCCTGTGTGCTCTGGTGGATTACTAGACCTAATTGTGCGCTTTTTCTCACTGCCGACGCTGATCGTAGAGGCCATGAAGGAAGAAGCCCATGGTTCAGAACTGCTCCGCCTGGTACCGCAACGATCGCAGCTGCTCACAGAAAAACTTCTGCTACCTCAATGAATTCATTCGATAAACATTCAATATTTAATGGCATGATTTGGCCGCAAAAGAGACACACACAAGAAAAGGAACACTCAAACGACAAGCACAGGCGGCCTGTGCTTGTCGTTTGAGTGTTCCTTTTCTTGTGTGTGTCTCTTTTGCGGCCAAATCATGCCATTAAGTAAATACCAACTAGGCCAACAATCAGTATTATTAAAACATTCAATAGTTATGATTATGGTTATTTTACCCTTATTTTGAATAAACGTAATCTCTATTATCATATGTATTCGACATAATTTTTATCTTGAACCAGTATCATCAATTTCTTACAATACTCTTTGTAGTATTCTGAAAACCGGACGTATGGGTTCAACCGGCAGCACTTGGATGAGAAACAAGGGTGCTACTTGGTGTTCGGTCAATAAATAAAGAGCACGCAAGGAATTAGGAGAAGGTCAACGTACGGAGTTGTCTTACAGAAGATTTGTTTCGAGAAACGCACACATTTTTTGCATGGGCATTTAGCATGCGTGCCACATGCGTCAAAACTCAAGAACTTAAGCCATTAACAAATTGTCTATTTAACGTATACTTATAGGAAAACAGCGCTCAAAGACTTACGATAAATTTTCAACATTAGCTGCCTTCGGTGAATCCCACATTGGCTCATCCGTCGCTCGACGATGAGCTTACGAGAGAGATGCCCGTATTCGCATTTTTTACGAGGAAATGACCCCCAACAAGTGATTAGCGTAACGCATGAGGGACTGAATTCACAGTATACCAAAGCCTAACGGATATTCTGGTTAAGAGAGAGCGAGAGAAATTTAGAGGTTAACTGGAAAAATCTCCGCTTGGCTACCCTCGCGGTGCATGAGAAGCGGAAAGGGGATGGGGAAAAAAATTAAACAGGGGAAGAATCGGAGAAGAAATAAAAAAAGTCATTGCAGCAGCATTTAAAAAAAAAAGAGCCCATCAGCGTATATTCACTAAACTGTCACAACGTGTCGTTCAGTCTTCTTTCAATGTAAAAATTCGGCAGATCCCACGTAACAGAGAATCGACGTTATTCGAAGCATACGGAGGGAGAGTGACCATGTTGCAAATTTTTTATTGAGCGACACGTCGCATGGAAAGACGCTAAATATATGTGGAAACGTTGCACGCACAAACATCTGTTGAAGAGTTGCAGATGTTTATATAACAAGTTGTTTGCACTTGCACAAACATTGCGGGCTAGAACATTCATATTGCCAACACCAGAAGCTGATATGAAGCGCTGATGCTCGCGAGGATGCTGGCCCGGGACACTGCTACATAAATCAACTTCAGCACATGGCAACTAACTACAATTGAAGTTAACCCGACGTGACGGCTGTATCAAAGGAGCAAATAAGTAATCTTTATAAAATTTGGTAGGCAGCACTGCAACCACTATTGACGTTTCACGAAGATTAGCGTATCTTAGAAAAGTAGTTCGGAGACCTGGCGTAGCTCTGTGGTAAAATGATTCATTGCCACAGAGAATGCTTGGGTTTGACTCAAGCTGAGACCCTGGCATTTATTCTTTGCATTCGTTCGGTCGACGCTACCGATGTCGGGTATTTCTTAACGCTCGCGCGTTAAAATTGCACATCTGTGTTCTCGTCGTTCCTGGGTAGATACTAAGTGTCAATCAACTGTGGCACATACGCGCATACCATCGGCACATACCTACCTGTGGGTATGTGCCACTGTCTGGCGGGAAGTGTTTGACGACGTACGTGACGTGATTTTGACATTATTCATGTCTTGACCAGTGCGTCTTAATCGTCAATCCGTCTTACCCTCCCATTAACATTTTGGTTCACGCAGAGTTATGGGGGTGACCACGGGAGCATACAAGCGTAAGCGGCTAGATAGATAGATAGATAGATAGATAGATAGATAGATAGATAGATAGATAGATAGATAGATAGATACGCTCAACGTCGCCGAAGTTAGCCAAGAAATGCTTCGCATTTAAAACCACTGCAATGGCCACACAGCGCCTTGCACTTGAGTTAAGGGAAGCCAGCAATTTCTTTTTTTCTGTCCGAAAGTGGTTATCCAGCTGACTTAGAGGGCTGCTCCTATAGGGCTGTTAAATGGGTGCATTCCCAAAGAAGGTGCGCGATTTTTTCGCTGCACTTGCACAGTTCACTCAATGAGATATCAGCTGCACGAGTGGATGGAAATAGCGCGCGCTTATTCGGGTAGATCAAGGAGAAAGACACGTCAGTACTCTGAAGAGGCGACGGTTGCACAGCGCGCGTGATAAGGGAATGGGGTGGGTTAGTGCGACAAATGAAGCGCTTTAGCGCCATGAAACAACGCATCGTGCAGCTGGCGGATGCGATAAGCCCCCTGATTCGACGACGGACGGCCGTTGTGTGTGTTATCACGCAGTGGACCAAGGTCGCATAAGATAAAGTCATTGATACGAGAAGTACAGTATCGGGTGAGAGCCCTTGATTCCTGCGATAGGGCTTCTTTTTTTTTTCAGCTCATTCACGCAAGCGAAGCTTCGAAAAAAAAGAGTGGTGCAACGTGAAAATCCCCGTTCTCGTGCCGTGTCCATGCTTACAGAAGCCCCAATATCTTGGAACAGTGCTAAAAGTGGAAGGTCTCGATGTTCGCTGAAAAGTTGCGTGGATACAGATCGAATGGCTACCTACCTTTTATCTCAATTAGAGTCAGTATTTGCGAGTGAAGCAATTGAGTTGTCAGCTTTTCTACGATAATTTGGTCGCGGGCCTGGTGCAATGGACAATGCCCGTTAAACTTTGCTAAAAGATGATGTTATTTTAGGGAATTTCTTGTCCAGTAACACCGAAGCGACATCCTTGTAACTCGTTCACTCTTTCAATCACTCATTCACTCACTCACTTTCACGTAAGGCATCCTATTAACACTACACCAATAAACAGACAGAAGTCTTGTCTTCAAAGTATACACATGCTTCTTGCGCGTGCACAAGCACGCGCAAGAAGCAAGAAGCATCTAATGAACAACCGAAGTACGACACTTGAAATGCCACGTAGCTGAGCGGCACACCAGGCCAATGTTCTAACATGTTTCATAGCATACGCACAGGAAACCGTTACGTAACAGCACTCTGCTAGCGGCATGCGGCGTATATAAGATCTGTTTAGAAAAAAAAAAGTTTAACGATTTCGATTACTTCGTACTCAACTATGGGAGAGCACTGAACGTCCCGCTAAAACAATTTACTACTTGCCTGCTAAAACCAAGCCGGTTATCTACTGATCAAAAACAAATGTCACGAGAGAACTGCCTCGAGGAGTGACAACGCAGTCATCACACATGTAGGGGGATCATTTCAAAGCTGACTTGTTTCGATGGCTTCTTGTTTTGCTATAAATCAACCAATCACACGGCGGCTTGTGGCAAAATATTCGAGAAGAACGAAATTATAATGGTTCATCTACTTTTTTACTGTCGCGTGTATCACGCTGTGCAACGTGTATCTGTTTCAAAAAAGCATTGTCTATAGATAGAATTGGTACATTGTAAGTACACTCGATTTACTCCAACATCTAACATAACCTTTTAGTTGGCCTTCAATGCTTGTTTTCCTTTTAGGGGCGAAGCTCCTTAGGGCGTGGGCTGTGCGTCCCCTGTAGCCTGTATGTAGCCACCCCTAGTTTAGTTCTTGCAGTGTTCACTAGATGGCGGTACGGTCCCCTGTATGTAGCCACCTCTAGTTTAGTTCTTGTAGTGTTCACTAGATGGCGGTACCGTCTCCTGTATGTAGCCACCTCTCGTTTAGTTCTTGTAGTGTTTACTAGATGGTGGTACTTGTAGCTGATGATGAAAAGATGCAAGATGTTATAAACTAGAAAGCGGTACTTGTAGTTGATGAAAGACGCGAGATCTTATAAAATAGGAATGATGTCACATATGGCGCGTGTCATTGGTTGAAGGCAATCGTTCGATTTAGTGTGGCGACGTATGCTAGGGGGAGCGATGTAATAAAATCGAGTGGGCAAAATGTACAGAGGATTCATGGTTTACCAGGTTTACCTCCGGAGCTTCGCCCACTCATCATCATTCACTTCGTGGATATGGCGGAATTTTTTTTGGGTTATTGTTTTATTTGCAAAACCCTTTCTCCTTGAATGAGTGGGCTGTATTTTGATTGACTTCCTGTAACACGCCTATGTAACGACAGCATGGGTGATTAGGGCATTTCAATGCTGAAAGATCTCTGTTGTCTCTCATAGGTGCGGCAAGCCGATTACAACGGAGCCCGAGATGACTAGCAGCAGCACCCGGTTAGCAGCGACTGTTGCGTTTGCGTTGACGCTGGTGGTCGCAGTATCCGCCAGGAGCGCCCACGAGCCGGAAAAGCTGAACACAGACGTCGTTACACATGCCTCTGACGACTGTGAGTGAACCGGATTCCGTATTGCGAAGTTAGTTGTTAAACAGACACGCAGAGATCAAATCCCGGCTGTGGCGGCTGCGTTTCCGATTTGGGTGCACGTTAAAGAACCCCAGCTGGTCGAAATTTCCGCAGCCCTCCACTACGGCGTCTTTCATAATCATATCGTGGCTTTGGGACGTTGGCTTTGGGACCCTACGTATCGTGGCTTTGGGACCCTACGTCAGCAATGACAGGGTGAAAACGAAATACAATAAAATCTTTAAAATACATTCTCAATACAATAAAATCGTCTTTAAAATACATTCTCGGACGCGTTTCTCTCCGTAACGTTTTGGTGGAGAGTGCGGGTCCTCCCAGAATCATCATGTACGACGATTCTACGCAGTGGACGTTCCCCGTAACAATATAGGGTTCTAAGTTACCTAAGTGCGTATTTTCCTGGTGTATTGTTCCCAGAGCTCTTGCGTTTGGGTACAACTAGTGTTGTATTGTCTACCAGATAAGAACTGTCTTGTATACCGTCTTTAAGTATGTACCGATTGTCCACTGCATGTACCGATTGTCCAGTGCGATGTGCCACTGCGTCTTCTTAGACGTTCTGACAAATATGCCGCTGCACAAATGTGAAACTAAAAACTATATTGGGTATCCAAGAACTGATGCCCTTCTGCTTCGGTCTCGTATGAGACGGGCAGTATTGAAAATGAATAAGTAAAATATGTGTAAAACATTACGTTCATTTTGTGCTGAGGCTTTAAAAGAAAGGGTTGGAAGATTTCAAATACCCTTTCGTTGCTCAGCTCACATTGTGTGCTGCCTGGATATTATTTTACTCTTCTACGAAGCTATATTACGTACGCCGTTCTCTGCCCGACATGACAGCTGTACAGGGTGTTTTAACGAAGGAACCTGAAGAACCAGCGCATCTCTGTGGTAGAATACTCAACTGCCACGCAGAGAACCCCGGTTCAAATCCCATGCACTTCTAGAAATTTTATATTACTTTTGCCTATCTCTAGCGATAGTGGCTGTGGACACCAGCGGCGGTGGTGGCGGCGTATAAGTGCGGCCCAAAAGTCACCACGTGTGATCTCGCAGCAGCTTTCGCTGAAATATATGAGGGCCCCAGCAACCGTCCCTTTCACACCAGAGCCGTGGCCGGGAGCACAGAGTGGCTACTTATCACTGGCTAAGTGTGCAGTGGGTGGAAGCAAAGAAAGATATTACTAACCTTGATATCTATCGCCAAGCTCGAAGCCATTCCTTTATCTTGAAAGGCAAGTTTGAGGACACGAAACCATACTCCGCCGTTTATGGTGCCAATTCATAAATGATGATTGCAGTCAGTAAGAGTGATGTATATATACGTTTGTATCGGTTTTTCGAATTTCATTTTTCTTTATTTCACGTAATAGTTAGAGACACCGTCGGTGGCGTAGACTGCGGACAACCACAGATATAGCACACTTCCATTGTAATCTGATAACAGCGTTCGTCGTGAAATGCAACCGTGAGGGCGTGTAATTCGGACGACGATTGACTCGGTTAGGACTTATAGAGTACCTATATAAGAGTACCTATATAAGAGTAAGAGTATATATATAGAGTACCTATATAGAGTACCTATATACTCGATAAGTCGTAACCAAGGCCATCGTCTTTCGAGCACGCGCAGTGGCGTTTACCATGTCTCCTATGTGCCTCTTTCCAGTTTCAATTCCGATAAACCCAGCGGAGACGATATTCAGTCTCGCCAAGGGCGCCATCATCGCAATAGTGATAAGCGTCATCGTGGTCATCGTCCTCATCGTCTTGTGCTGCGTCTGCTGTTGTAAGGCTTGCGCGAAAAACAAGGTAAGGCACTTCATTTCGCGGCCGATTATATAACGCGATAAGATAACACAATCATGCAATCACCTTTACATGGTGCCTGTTTTCTCACTTTCCACGGAAGCAATGTTTCTACTAAAACTAGCCCCGCCGTGGTGGTCTAGTGGCTAAGGTACTCGGCTGCTGACCCGCAGGTCGCGGGATCGAATCCCGGCTGCGGTGGGATTTGATCCCGCAACCTGCGGGATCAATTTGATTGATTGATTGGTTTGTGGGGTTTAACATCCCAAAACCACCATTTGATTATGAGAGACGACGTAGTGGAGGGCTCCGGAAGTTTTGACCACCTGGGGTTCTTTAACGTGCACCCAAATCTGAGTACACGGGCCTACAACATTTCCGCCTCCGTCGGAAATGCAGCCGCCACAGCCGGGATTTGATCCCGCGACCTGCCAGTCAGCAGCCGAGTACCTTAGCCACTAGACCACCACGGCGGGGCGGCTGCATTTCCGATGGAGGCGGAAATGTTGTAGGCCCGTGTACTCAGATTTGGGTGCACGTTAAAGAACCCCAAAGGGTCAGAACTTCCGGAGCCCTCCACTACAGCGTCTTTAATAATCAAATGGTGGTTCTGGGACGTTAAACCCCACATATGCATCAATCAATTCTACTAAAATAAACGTTCCGTGATTTGCTATCGGCGCCAAACGAAACACGAACAGCGGCAAGCTGCACCATTTGCGTAGTGCGTGCTGTCTAGGCATCACCATGGGCCTGTGCAGTGCTACCAAACCGGAGTGTTGGCGTACCTGTCAGTAGTGATGACGAGACGGGGCGCACTATACAATTGCTAACGCGTGCCGCGTTAAGCATTTCATTTGGCGCCACTATTACGTACTCGTTGCATCGCTACTCCCTTCTCAATAGTGTGTGGAGTACGTCGGCGTATCCTGTGGGTTCACAGAAATAATATTGAAACTACGCAGGAGACGCACACAGTAGTGTACTCGGGCAACCCGCCACAGCAATTCCCGCCGCCGATGCACCACCAGTGGCCGCCAGGGACGCAGCCTACCTCACCCCAGGGATACTTCGCGCCTCAGGCCCAGGAGGCAGCGCCACCGCTAGCGTACCCACCGGCGTACCCGGCGGGCCCTGCCTACGAGCCACCGAAGAAGTACTAGTTCGTGGAAGGAAGTACATCGCTTTATACCGTACCAAATCACGCGCGGCGCGACATTTGTGGATACAATGTCGGAAGAAATCTTCTTCTTTTTTTATTTAATGTCGCAAGAAATCGGCCACGAAAACAAAAACGTGGATCTCTTCCTTTGTATGTTGTGTTGTACGTCGCCGATTGGCCATCGTTTCGAAGAAGCCGTCCTCGATTATGAGCTTATGCTGACTGTCAGATTATGTGGCATTCACCCATGAGAAATGGATAAGTTTGATGACACGGAAGGCGCAGGGGTCATCCGGGTGCATTCCTCTCTGCAGTCTATCCAGCACCGTTGAAAAAGGTGTCAGCAAAGAAGGAGAATCAACGAAATAACCCTACAAAGTCAGACACTATGCGGAAAAATTGACCAGAATGGGAACGTTTGCGTTTTCCAACAGATGGTTATCTCATGTGGAACAAAAGAAGCCACACATGGCTTGCCTGAATATTTCTGGTGGCTTCTTCATGGAATCATCGCGCGTTCTCCCGGCATAGAAGATTTAAAACGGTCATCTTTTACCATATGCCATTACACGGTAGCAGATCAATGCACTAAATATAAATAACCTACCTCATTTAATGTAAATAATAACAGAATTCTTCTAATAAAAATAGACCACTTATCGCCAACGTCGCTATGGTGCGCCTTACATTATATGACGCAGAAATATGTTTTATAACAATAAGCAAACGAGTTCAGATGCCTGTAAATGTACAATATCATGTTCAATTATTCATTAAGCATTGAGGGTGCGCACGCATATGGCACACAGCAGCCAAATCCGAACGTGTCCATGCAACAAAGTTGCCGAGTAGCGAACGAGCATACGGCAAACATCTCATTAAAGTCACACAGCTAAATGTAGAGTACAAGCTTAATGTAAATGCGTACGTTCCACTTGGAAGGGCTGCTTAGTTAGCTTTAAATGTACGAGAGGGAGAAATATATAACAAAAATTGCGTTGAATCTACATGTTACACTGTAAATGTCGTCGAAAGACGATAGTCTTGCGTCTGGAAATAGTGAACAAAACGTTTATTTGATGTTCTGCGCAAGAAAATCGGTGAATGGTATTCTCCAGGCGCTGCGTTATAGAGTGCCTCGATCGTGGGGCGGAGGCGAACGAGCGCATCTAGGCACGTTAGACACGAGTGTCATCTGGCAGTTATCTTCGAAAACGAAGACGTGCAGCCCGCGGAGAAAGATGCCCGCCAGTCTCGGAGGTGATAAGGTGTAGAACGCAAAGCGACGGGCAGGTGCCGCCACCGTAACGTCGTAGTAAAGGGTAGGAAACACATTTTTTGAGCATTGCGTTGCACTGTCAGCACAGCGCGATTAAACGCTACATTCCTTAGAGTTACTTGGTGTGTGCCTCTTCTGGTATAAAGGCAGAGATAGAAAACATCGAGGCGTTGTTGTGGCGCCTCAGATATGCGCAATAATTGCTTTTTAATTGACAATCGCACAACTATGAACGCTAAACCTTGAGCAATATTGGTGGGCCCTGCGGATGGGGTTGGCCGTTTGATGCCGTTTGAGGTATCGTTAGGGCGGAGAAACAGACAGTTGTATAGACAGACAGACCAAAATTTTTCCGTCGAAGGTCCCCAAGAAACACTATCGTCTTTAAAAAATTGCCCGCGTATCTGCGTGGTGAGACTGGACAAGCCGCCCGCCACGTCCTTGGTCATGCACGCCATTTCCCTTCTTCTTCTCTCTTTCCCACATATTCATACACTTACCTCTTTCCCCTACAAGCGCTGAGCCGTGCTCCCAACTAAGGTTGCAGAAGTTGCGTCTTTTCTTTCCATCAATCCCTCTCTCTCTTTCGCTACAAACATCGTCGAAATAACGGTAGTCTTCTGAAAGCCTTCTTTCATGCATAGAGACGTATTTTCAGCGAAGCCTAAGAAACACTAGTGTCTCTAGAATTATGTATCTATGTATTTCAGTAAAGGAACACACTGCACAATACTTACGTATTGATGTTGCCCCTCAGATATGCGTCATGTCTGCTTTTAGATCGACAATGTTCACAAGTATAGACGCAGCAACCAGTTCAAGATGGCTGGGCGTTGAGCAAGCACTTAAACTTATGCCGCGTGGCTCAATCGTTTGGTGTGACAGACAGACAGGACAGGCAGACAGACCAAAATTTCTGCGTTGACTTGAAGTATCCCAAGAAAGGCTATCGTCCTCAACAGATGCACTTCGCCCCTTTTAGCCATCATGCATCTGCTTATTCAGAGGGCAAGTACCGAAGGGTCCAACGTTTGGCCCCCTCCAAGACGGACTGCATACAAGCGAGAGAAGATAGCACCAAATGCTTTGTTAGTATGTGCGAAAACAGTAAGCACGTTTTGGAAATAGCAAAGCGGGGGTTATCGACAGAGTTAAGACAAGACACCATTCCCCGGCAGCGTCACAACTGGCTTCAGTGGTGCTTCTGTGGTGTTTCGGAGAAGTGTAAGTACCGCCGAGTTTTTCACAAATTTTGGGGGGCGTACAAGTGGGAGGTTTTGCTGTGCAGCTACTGATTGGCCCGAATTGCGCGGTGTACTTATGTGATGGCACAGACGCTGCTCATTCATTTGCAAGTCCAACTCCATTGACGCGTACTGTGCAAGTAAATCTCTGAGAGCGCAAACTTGCCATTTTGTTTGGTTGTTGCTGTTGTTGTTGTAGGCCCTGTATTATTCGCCATCATTGATGCACCACAGTACATGGACACATTATAGAACAGAACTAAAATTGTAAAGGTTAAGGTAAACAAAGAGGCAAAGCTGCTGGTGAGGATCAGGTAACATCAGACCTGCTGAAAGATGGAGGACAGATTGTGTTAGAAAAACTAGCCACCCTGTTTACGAGGTGTCTCCTGACGGGAATGGTACCAGAGTCTTGGAAGAACGCTAACATAATCTTAATACATAAGAAAGGAGATGACAAGGACTTGAAGAATTACAGGCCGATCAGCTTGCTCTCTGTAGTATACAAGCTATTTACAAAGATAATTGCTAACAGAGTAAAGAAAACATTAGAATTCAATCAACCAAAGAAACAAGCAGGATTTAGAACAGGCTACTCAACAATTGACCACATTCATACTATCAATCAGGTAATAGAGAAATGCTCAGAGTATAACCAACCACTATACATAGCCTTCATAGATTACGAGAAGGCGTTTGATTCAGTAGAAATATCAGCCGTCATACAGACACTGCGTAATCAGGGCGTAGATGAAGTATATATAAACATCCTGGAAGAAATCTACAGGGGATCAACTGCTACCATAGTGCTTCATAAAGAAAGCAACAGAATACCAATCAAGAAGGGTGTAAGGCAGGGGGACACAATCTCCCCAATGCTATTTACCGCGTGCTTACAGGAGGTTTTCAGAAGCCTAGAATGGGAACAGTTAGGGATAAGAGTTAATGGAGAATACCTTAGTAACTTGCGCTTCGCCGATGACATTGCATTGCTGAGTAACTCAGGGGACGAATTGCAACTCATGATTGTACGGAGTTAGACAAGGCGAGCAGAAAGGTGGGTTTTACAATTAATCTGCAGAAAACGAAAGTAATGTACAGCAAATTCGGAAAGGAGCAGTGCTTCGAGATAGGTAATAGTGCACTTGAAGTTGTAAAAGACTATGTCTACTTAGGGCAGGTAATAACTGCAGAGCCTAACCACGAGATTGAAGTAACTAGAAGATTAAGAATGGGATGGAGCACATTCGGCAAGCACTCTCAAATTATGACAGGTAGATTGCCACTATCCCTCAAGAGGAAGGTATATAACAGCTGTATCTTGCCGGTACTTAGCTACGGAGCAGAAACCTGGAGGCTTACAAAGAGGGTTCAGCTTAAATTGAGGACGACGCAGCGAGCAATGGAAAGAAAAATGGTAGGTGTAACCTTAAGAGACAAGAAGAGAGCAGAGTGGATTAGGGGACAAACGGGGGTTAAGGATATCATAGTTGAAATAAAGAAGAGGAAATGGACATGGGCCGGGCATGTAGCGCGTAGACAGGATAACCGCTGGTCATTAAGGGTAACTAACTGGATTCCCAGAGAAGGGAAGCGGGTTAGGGGGAGACAGAAGGTTAGGTGGGCCGATGAGATTAAGAAGTTTGCGGGTGTAAATTGGCAGCAGCAAGCACAGGACCGGGTTAACTGGGGGAACATGGGAGAGGCCTTTGTCCTGCATAGTGGACATAGTCAGGCTGATGATGATGATGATGATGATGATGATGATGATGATGATGATGAAGGTAAACTTGACCTAATCCAGGACTTGCCTGTAGGGGATCAGTAATAATTCCTTTTGGAGTCTTTTAGTCGTCATAACGCTGATCTGCTGCCAATTCACTGCGGTAGCACCCGGTAGTAAAATGAAACTAAAGGAGTAAGCAACAGCACATCTGCGTAAGCTAGCCACTGCCGATTCTATTGATCGATTTTCTCTATGCACTTTAGTGCATTACTGTTCAATTCTGTGGTGGCGTGGGAGAATCCACTGCATTAAAAGTGCACTCTTTGTCAGAGCGTTGTCTGAGACCTACGAGCGGTCTTCAGGTTGTTTAGTGCCATTATTAAGGTTTGCAACACTTCTGCACGTAGCCGAAGCAGCAAGCTCTGTAGATGGCTTGCATTGACGTCACAGAAACCACCATGTTGGTCAAGCACATTGTACCCACAAGGTATGTGGCCTCATGCGTTAATGTGATATCACTTCCAAGGTCTCTCATTATTTACCGACAACGGCCAATACAATTTCGGCCACATTGTTATCCGGTAGCAAAGGGCACCAGCTGTTGCGAACCGTGCGTAGCCAGCTGAAGTACCTCATCTAGAGGCCGCAAGAATATACCGACAATGAACTTGTCTGGAAGATATTACAATAAAGAATACTGATTTTGCTGGCTTCCTATAATAGTGTGCACCACCCTCCCTCCCTCCCCCCCCCCCCCCCCCCCCCTAACGTCCCGACTTACTTCATTGAAGGATTGGTAAGCCCAACTGCAAAGGGTAATATAGAGTCTGTATTAATAAATGATACTCCTACTTTCCAAACATTCCCTACACTAAGTCCCCCTGTGGCCGCTGGTACGGC